TGCTGGATGCATCCTCAGAAACCCATGGGCAGATAGTCGGGTCTGAAAGAAATGAAATGTTTACACTTTTGGTTTGCTCTGCTTTTGCCCGAGCGACTTCCTCCTGACCTGACCATCTGCTCCTGGGTTTCCAAGGATGCATCAGACCCTAGCCTCTCTCCCCTATAGAGGCTCTCTGGGGGAATGGCACAGGTGTGGCTCTATGCAAGGTATATCCGAGAACCTTCTTTACCTTTTCCCTATCCTCTGAACTGCCAGCCTACATAGTCAAAATGCATAAATGAGGCCTCTCGGAGGAGAGAGATTTTTAAAGACCCAACCTTTTGACCAAACATTTGCCCTCACAGGGGACTGCCTTCAGCAGTCTGTATCGTGAACCCTCTTCTGTAAGATTGTGTATAGCCCCAGCACACTACCACATTTGTCAAATCCAATGACTGTTTTTGCCTTTTTTTTTCTCTAGTGAACATCACTATATATATCTTTTAATTAATAAATTGGTTGTTTTTTACATGGTGTTAGGTAAACAGCTATGATGTGTCATTGCATTTCATTACGTTTACATTGCAATACACAGAAGAAAGTGTTGTAGAAGATGGCTGTTTCTTGTTGGTCACATTTCCTTATACAAACGTAACACATACACTTGAGAACATAAGAGTACATTTGAAATACTTGATGCAATTTGCCTCTTTGTGTACCCTTCTATTTAGTTTAAAATATAAGTTTAACATGCTTAAGCAAGCACAAGGTGCAAAACATCTTGCTTTATTGGTTTAGCTTCTTGTTCTTTTTATGGCAGTTTTAAAACAGTGATAAACAGCAGATAAGAAACTTTTAATTTAAGGTTGTAGAAAAGGTTCAAAAATGTTATTTCAGGTCATGCAGGGGTTTTGGGTTAATTCATGTTAAAATGGAGTTCAGAAATTTGTCAAACAACATCTGGGTATGTGATGTCAGTTTTGGAGATAATTTATTAAATAGATATCAAGTTATCATTCATCTAAAGCACGCATAATTTTGTCCTTTTCGGTATGGTAAATCTAATTTTGGAATTATTTTAAAGATTTTTACATGTATACTGGTTTGTCATCATCCCCACCTTGTGAGACCTTTCCTCCATGTTGCCTGAAGGGATATATGAGCAATTATACAAATATGAAGGTCTATTTAATGTCCTGCCCTCCCGTGTCTAGCCCATTTTTAATCAATTAATGTGCGGCATCTAGCGCAGTAATTAATTTTCCCACTTTTGAGACAACACCCCACCCCTCGGAGTCAGAAACTTGGTTTGAAGAAAAAAAAAACTAAAAGAATAGTTAAAAATATATGCACGAATATTACAATTTTTTGCTCATAGCTCAGTTGAGCTGGTTTCTGCAGGAAGAAGCACTTTTTTGTTTTCATGATTGTGTATCATAGCAAATATTTACAGCTTTCTGTTTCAGAGCAGGCTTTTGTCCGCAGGTTGATTTCTTTTCTTTCTTAGCGCGAAAAAACTATTGGCATTGCCAGAACTTTCCAATACCGAAATTTGTGCCNTAGCAAATATTTACAGCTTTCTGTTTCAGAGCAGGCTTTTGTCCGCAGGTTGATTTCTTTTCTTTCTTAGCGCGAAAAAACTATTGGCATTGCCAGAACTTTCCAATACCGAAATTTGTGCCAGAGGGTATAGTTTTAGAGATGCTGATAAGTCTTTTGTTTAAGGAAAAGGTTGGATCGAAAACGTCAAATTTTTGTTTCTCTACCCTCTGAAAAATACTGAGAAATATCAAGTGACTTGAAATAATATCGTAACAGAAGTTGACTGGAGTCACGTTAGTTATCAGTCGCAAACAAAGATCCAATCAAATCCTGTTTTAGATTTGAATTAGCCAATCAAATTACCTGTTAGTTCCCTGTTCTAGAAAAGGCGACCGTAACGCGAAAAGGAAGTCCGGAGCAATGTTTTGGCGGGTTGTTTGGTTGTGAACGGGGAGGGTCATGCTTTGCTGCCTTTTTCTAAAATGACGGATAGAACGGCTCCAACGTCGTCGCTAAAGCTAGAATGGGTCTATGGCTACCGTGGTCACCAATGTCGGAACAATCTTTACTATACGGCCGCGAAAGAAATCGTGTATTTTGTCGCCGGTGTTGGTGTGGTTTACAACACGAGGGAAAACTCGCAGAGATTTTTTCTTGGCCATAACGATGACATTATAAGGTTTGTAGCTTTGGACTGTCTGAGGGACTACTGCGAGGTATTTTTGATAGACTAGGTGACGAAAACCTTAGTTACTCGGAATATTTGCGGACATCGAAAATCGGTCAATATATTTGTGTGTCGATGTGTTGACTGTTGTTGCCGCGCGAACCCATTGAATAGATCGAAGTTTGCTTTCTAAAATGTCGAGATCGAAGAATTGTACAAGATTCTTGTCATTTCACACCTCCCTTTGTCAGCTGGTAGGTTGAGCAGAAATTTTAGGTCTTGGTTTCTTTGAAAAAGGAGGTACTTGTTAATTTGACAGAAGCTTAGAAAGCTCTTTGGCTTACACTCGTGTTTTGCTTGACTGATGGAGCGAAGAAGCGAATTATTCCCGGTTTGATTTTTAAAATTTGCATGTTGCGTACGATTGTACTTGTTTTGAATAGACTTTGTTGTAAGCTTACATTCAGCTGTGCTCCGCTATTATTCAGCCTTCGGCAACCAATTTCTGTGAAAACTTACGCTTACATATGCAAACTTTCCTGACGAGAAAATTGTACTTGTCCGAATTTTTTTTTCTTTCACATTTGTAATATTGTTTCCAAGCTATCCAAGTGCTGATTTTGTTTTAGTGTTTAAAATATTTGTCCCACTCATCTTGAACTGATGCAGTCACACCCATTTTATTTTGATTATCTACAAAAATCAATAAAACTTCAATATTTAACTTTCATTCGCCNCTTGGCCATAACGATGACATTATAAGGTTTGTAGCTTTGGATTGTCTGAGGGACTACTGCGAGGTATTTTTGATAGACTAGGTGACGAAAACCTTAGTTACTCGGAATATTTGCGGACATTGAAAATCGGTCAATATATTTGTGTGTCGATGTGTTGACTGTTGTTGCCGTGCGAACCCATTGAATAGATCGAAGTTTGCTTTCTAAAATGTCGAGATCGAAGAAATGTACAAGATTCTTGTCAGTTCACACCTCCCTTCGTCAGCTGGTAGGTTGAGCAGAAATTTAGGTCTTGGTTTCTTTGAAAAGGAGGTACTTGTTAATTTGACAGAAGCTTAGAAAGCTCTTTGGCTTACACATCGTGTTTTGCTTGACTGATGGAGCGAAGAAGCGAATTATTCCTGGTTTGATTTTTAAAATGTGCATGTTGAGTACGATTGTACTTGTTTTGAATAGACTTTGTTGTAAGCTTACATTCAGCTGTGCTCCGCTATTATTCAGCCTACGGCAATCAATTTCTGTGAAAACTTACGCTTACATATGCAAACTTTCCTGACGAGAAAATTGTACTTGTCCGAATTTTTTTTTCTTTCACATTTGTAATATTGTTTCCAAGCTATCCAAGTGCTGATTTTGTTTTAGTGTTTAAAATATTTGTCCCACTCATCTTGAACTGATGCAGTCACACCCATTTTATTTTGATTATCTACAAAAATCAATAAAACTTCAATATTTAACTTTCATTCGCCAGACAAATTATTTTATAATTCAAAACGTTTATGTAAATCTAGGACTTGCTCTCATCTGACTTTCATTACGCATACATTTTGTCAGTTGAAATGTTTATCATCCAGTCATGCGTATGTCTTCATTTTCTTTAATGGATTGGCGAACATAAGCTTAAATAATTTAAGCAGTGAGGGAGAATGTTATTCCATATTGTTTCTTACTTATTAAGAAAATAAATTTATCATGAAAAGATTTGGGATCAATCAGTCACATTTGAAAATAATGCTAGATTGTAAATAAATAATTATTGAGTTTTAGAGGAAGTCTAAGGCACATCTTTTACTTTTTTT